TAACCAAGCAGCTTTCATACAACATAGAACGTTTCACAGTACTTGTTCTGAGTGACCCACCCATTAGTGCTTTGGCTCAGTCATGACACAGCCATGTCTCATTAGAGCCAAACACGCACAAACAATACCTTGGATAACTGCAGACATAACATAACATGTAGGAGCAGGAGCAGGCCATTTGGCCCTTCGAGCCTGCCCCGCCATTCAATCATGGCTGATCTTCTAATCTAACTCCAGCTAATAACCTAACCCTGCCTTATCCCCATATCCCTTAATCCCTTTTGCAATAAGAAATCTATCTATCTCAGTCTTGAATATGTTCAAGGACTGAGCGTCAACAGCCCTTTGGGGTAGTGAGTTCCATACGTTCACCACCCTTTGAGTGAAGAAGTTCTTCCTCAACTCAGTGCGAAAGGGTTGACCTTGATTTTAAGGTTATGACCCCTGGTTTTAGTTTCTCCAACCAGGGGTAACAATCTCCCACTATCTACTCTATCATGCCCTTTGATAATCTTATAGGTTTCTATAAGATCCCCTCTAATTCTTCTATATTCTAGAGAATATAGGCCCAAATTGGTCAGCCTATCCTCATAACTCATCCCCTTCATCCCTGGTACTAACCGAGTAAATCTACACTGCACCCCCTCCAAGGCAAGTACATCCTTCCTTAAATAAGGAGACCAAGACTGCACACAGTATTCCAGGTGTGGTCTCACCAGGGCCCTATACAGTTGCAGCAAGACTTCCCTACTCTTATATTCTAATCCTTTCATAATGAATGCTAATCCAGCATTACCAGGTACCGTCTCTCTGAACCCCCAGAGACACAAGCGAACCTTTCCTCTCACCCTCTTCAATGGATATTACTATATTATATTTTACTGCTAGAAAATAAATATGGACCATGGGATTATATTTGAATACCAGTTAATGACTCAAGCCAAAGCATCAGAAATACCCTTATGAGAACAGATCATTTCTTGCATCTACACCAATACTGCACAGACTACTGCATTCAGATTTGACATAGGTAGGCCACAAACCAAATAGATTTTTTTTAAGCATAGAAAGTGTGTATTCATCCTATCATGCCTACTTTCAGTAAGAGTCATTTGTTAATTCCTACTTCTCTGCTTTTTCCTGACACATAATAAAAATAATCCTTGCATTTTATATAGCGCTTTTCACGTCGGGAGGACGTCCCAAAGCGCTTCACAGAACACACTGTAAAGTGAATTGACTGTATATTTGTGGGCGAACGCGGCAGCCAATTGCGCACAGCAAACAGTCGGAGATTGTAAATGATCAATTTTTATTATTGTTTTTGGTTTTGGAGGGATTATTATTAGGCTCTGTGTGGAGTAAGGAAACTTGCCCAAGGTTTCGCCCTCTGCCTGGAATTAAACTCAGGTCTCTTGCTTGCAAAGCGAGTGCTCTAACCACTGAGCTACAGGACTCCAAGGACATATTAGTCTAATTGGTCTAATTCCCTTTTAAAAGCGATTTAACCATAGCCAGTTCAATACTGTATGCCCCAAATGACTAAATCTCCAAACCTCCCCCTGTGTTTTTTTGGTATTATTTTTTCTTCTATATTGCGGCTATTTTTTCACTTCCTGAAAGCACCAATTCTTGTCATGATTGTGGTTTTACAAGTATAGACTGGTCTCACATGAGCACTCACTATGCCTCTTATAGGAGCCTCAGGCAAGCTTTTCAACTGCTCGAGACATCGTAGCTGAGCACAAATGTGTCCTTCTCTGCAGGCGCACATTTCAGCAATGAGTACTGGCTAGAATTAGAAGAAGCTATTTTTTCTTTTCCCTATTCCCGTTTTACTTGTTTAGGGAAGGGCACCCTGAGATTAGTATGGGACATGGCTATCTGTCAGTTCAGGTGGGTGTTGCGGATCCCATGGCAGTGTTTGAAGGGAGAGGGGAGTTTTTCCTGATGCCTGGGCCAAAAGTTCCCCTGTCTGGGCCAAAAGTTCCCCAAATACAATTGGTCACTCATTCCATGACTGTTTGTGAGACACTGTTGACAAAATACAGTCAATCCACTTTAGAGTATATCTCGTGAAGCACTTTGAGACATCTCAGCGACACGAAAAGGCACTATATCAAATGCAAGGGTTATTATTATTAATACTGAAGGCCCATTAAGAAACTGAGCTCATATTCTGGGATGACACTCCAGTACAGTACTGAGGGGGGTGAAGCCATTGCACTGTAGAAGGAGCTGCCTTTCAAGAAAAACAAGAAATCTGGGTTCAATTTGCCCATTCAAGTGGATATTGAAAGATGCTGCAAATCTATTTCAGGGCGTTTCTCCAGTATCATGGCAATGGGGGTGTGGGGTGGTGGAGGAAAGGGGGGAGAGTGGTGTGGTGGAGGAAGGGGGAGTGGGGTGGTGGAGGAAGGGAGGGGGGTGGGGTGGCGGAGGCCATCCATGGCCTTGCCCCCTTCTACCTCTCTGACCTGCTGACTCCTTACCAACCTGCCCGCTCCCTCCGGTCATCGGGCTCCTGTCTGCTCCATGTCTCCCACCTGACCCGCCCTACCATCAGTGGCCGGGTTTTCAGCCTCTCTGCCCCCACACTCTGGAACTCCATCCCACGGTCCCTTTGCCTCGCTCAAAGTCAGTATCAAGACCCTTCTCTTCAATCGTGCCTTTGGTCGCCCTCCCACCTCTCTGCCTTCTCTCACCCCTACACCACCCCTCCCTCATGCTCAGGCCCCAACGCCTGACTGTTCAGCGCTTTGGGACATTCTCCCGACATGAAAGGCGCTCTATCAATGTAAATTTGTTGTTGTTGTTGAAGGAAGGAGGGAGGGGAAGTGGGGTGGTGGAAGAAGGGGGGGGAAGGAAGGAGGGAGTGGAGTGGTGGAGGAAGGGGGGGAATGGGGTGGGGTGATGGAGGAAGGGGGTGTGACAGAGGAAGGGGGGAGGAAATGGGGGAGGGGTGGAGGAAATGGGTGGGGGAGTGGGTGGTGGAGGAAGGGGGGAGGGGATGGTGGAGGAAGGGCGGAGGGGATGGTGGAGGAAGGATGAGGGAGGAGGGAGAGCTCTCCCTTGGCTCTGTGAGGGGAGGGTGCGGGGAGTGATGGAGAGGGCAATTATCCCCAGACTCTCGCGGGAGAGGGCTGAGGGGGGAGAGGGCTGAGGGGGTGGGGGGAAGAGGGCTGAGGGGGTGGGGGAGAGGGCTGAGGGGGGGGGGAAGAGGGCTGAGGGGGTGGGGGGAAGAGGGCTGAGGGGGTGGGGGGAAGAGGGCTGAGGGGGGGGGGAAGAGGGCTGAGGGGGTGGGGGGAAGAGGGCTGAGGGGGTGGGGGGAAGAGGGCTGAGGGGGTGGGGGAAGAGGGCTGAGGGGGTGGGGGGAAGAGGGCTGAGGGGTGGGGGGAAGAGGGCTGAGGGGGGGGGGGAGAGGGCTGAGGGGGTGGGGGGGAAGAGGGCTGAGGGGGTGGGGGGAAGAGGGCTGAGGGGGTGGGGGGAAGAGGGCTGAGGGGGTGGGGGGAAGAGGGCTGAGGGGGTGGGGGGGAAGAGGGCTGAGGGGGTGGGGGGAAGAGGGCTGAGGGGGTGGGGGGGAAGAGGGCTGAGGGGGTGGGGGGGAGAGGGCTGAGGGGGTGGGGGGGAGAGGGCTGAGGGGGTGGGGGGGAGAGGGCTGAGGGGGTGGGGGGGAGAGGGCTGAGGGGGTGGGGGGAGAGGGCTGAGGGGGTGGGGGGGAGAGGGCTGAGGGGGTGGGGGGAGAGGGCTGAGGGGGTGGGGGGGAGAGGGCTGAGGGGGTGGGGGGAGAGGGCTGAGGGGGTGGGGGGGAGAGGGCTGAGGGGGTGGGGGGAGAGGGCTGAGGGGGTGGGGGGAGAGGGCTGAGGGGGTGGGGGGGAGAGGGCTGAGGGGGTGGGGGGAGAGGGCTGAGGGGGTGGGGGGAGAGGGCTGAGGGGGAGGGGGAGAGGGCTGAGGGGAGGGGGGAGAGGGCTGAGGGGGGGGGGAGAGGGCTGAGGGGGGGGAGAGGGCTGAGGGGGGGGGGAGAGGGCTGAGGGGGGGAGAGGGCTGAGGGGGGGGAGAGGGCTGAGGGGGTGAGAGGGCTGAGGGGGGGAGAGGGCTGAGGGGGGGAGAGGGCTGAGGGGGGGGGGAGAGGGCTGGGGGGGGGAGAGGGCTGAGGGGGGGAGAGAGGGCTGAGGGGGGGGGAGAGAGGGCTGAGGGGGGGGGGGAGAGGGCTGAGGGGGGGGGGGAGAGGGCTGAGGGGGGGGGGAGAGGGCTGAGGGGGGAGAGGGCTGAGGGGGGAGAGGGCTGAGGGGGGGGGAGAGGGCTGGGGGGGGGGGAGAGGGCTGAGGGGGGGGGAAGAGGGCTGAGGGGGGGGAGGGCTGAGGGGGGGAGAGGGCTGAGGGGGTGGGGAGAGGGCTGAGGGGGTGGGGAGAGGGCTGAGGGGGTGGGGAGAGGGCTGAGGGGGGGGGAGAGGGTGAGGGGGGGGGGGGGCTGAGGGGGGGGGAGAGGGCTGAGGGGGGGGAGAGGGCTGAGGGGGGGGAGAGGGCTGAGGGGGGGGAGAGGGCTGAGGGGGTGGGGAGAGGGCTGAGGGGGGGGGAGAGGGCTGAGGGGGGGGGAGAGAGGGCTGAGGGGGGCGAGAGAGAGCGCTGAGGGGGGCGAGAGGGCTGAGGGGGGGAGAGGGCTGAGGGGGGGGGGGAGAGGGCTGAGGGGGTGGGGGAAGAGGGCTGAGGGGGGGGAGAGGGCTGAGGGGGGGGAGAGGGCTGAGGGGGTGGGGGGAAGAGGGCTGAGGGGGAGAGGGCTGAGGGGGAGGGGGGAGTAAGCCGTGTGTCTCGCGCTTCCGCCGCGGTGTTAAAACGGTCCCGTGAACAGAAACCGCCTCAAACCAACCGTCCGACGCGGAGCGTTTCGAGGCCCCTCCGCCCGCTTTCAACCGGTGGGGGGGGGGTAATTAACGGTAGAACCGAGGGGAGGGGGGGGGTCGTACGCGGGCGGGGCCTGTCCCCAGGCTGTGATGGCATTACCTGGGTCCCGGCTCTCAGTCCATGGCCGCCGCTCCTTCCCCTTCTCTCTCTCTCGCTCTCTCTGTCGCTCGCGCTCACACACTCACGAGCTCTTGACTGCCGCAGCGAGCTCTCTGTCCGCCACTACCCCGGCCTGGCTACATCCGTTTCCCTTCCCACGCTGTCGGCTATCGATCCAGTCGCCCTAGCGTTGGCGTCGGCGTCGAAGCCGAGGAGGCGTCGCTGTGCTGCAAGATGGGCTCGACTTGTCCTGCCTCCCACTCCTCCCCCCCCCACCCCGGAGCTCCAAGTCACGTGTCAAGATGCACTCACTCACTCACTCACTCACAGCAATTTGTGTAACAGGATATTTCAGGTTTGATTCAATTTTAAACGAAAAGCATTTTTTTTTAAAAAAAAATTTATTTAAAAAAAAACAACGCTTCACATCTCAGGGTTGAGAGTTTCCCCACCCATTTGCCAAGTGGTTTTGTTGAACCGTGCGTTCGCTCTCGCAACAATTGCGCACGGGTTCATTGATTATCATAATAAAAATAAGAATAAATTGTTCATTGATTGCGAATAGTGATAATAGTGATACGGTCACTTCAATCCGCGACTGTTTGTGGGACGTCGCTGTGTGCCATTGGCTGCCGCTTTTCGGCCACAAAATACACAGGTCAATCCACTTTGCAGTGTATATCCTGTGAAGCGCTTTGAGACGTCTCCACGACGTGATAAGGCGCTATATCCATACCAAGGATTATATTATTGTGTCGTGTCTAAACGAGAAAGAAAATAAACGGCCTGCGCTGAGCTTTCATTTTGTGCATTTACTGTTTCTTTCAAACGGCAATGGATAACATCAGAAGGTTGAACCCAACACGTGTTTTAAAAATAATTCCCTCACTTGTAATTAAGCACATGGTATTTCTGAGGCAGATTGCATGTAATCACAAAACTACTACAGTCAATTACAGATAGAGGTTAAAAGAAATAAGAAAATTAATAGCTGCAGATCTAACTTAATCGAGGTACCTAAAAATACTTTTGTAAACGCATTTTGTTCTTGACGTATCACTTTGTATGTTCAATTAAACTGTAAATCATGATACAAACATGTTTACCCTCCTGCATGACAAGTTTATTTCCCCCATTTTTGCATTTTTATTATTTCAGCACAATATTTAGATGTTGAAAGATTGTTAATACTTAGGTATCAATTATTCACATGAGTCTGAACACCTAATCTTAACGCTCAAACTGTGTCACACCATCTAAATAACTGCATAATGCAAGTTATTGAAACCAGCATATGGCCTTAAGCAACATTTATTCAATTGAATTGTGTTGGTTTAAGGCTTACAACATGGGTATTTCTTTCACCAATTGATTTGGCTGCAGAGTCTCTTTGTTCTAATGTGGAAGTTGGATGCAGTTCAGTATTTGTAATTTATCCACAAGCCAATCTCAAGCTAGGGAAGCACTCAGCAGACAGGTCAGGGCTCTTTGCAGGGTGGTTGGGAGGGAAAGAAATGATCAACAACTAATACACTGTGGATTACTCTCGGATATATCCAAGTAATTCTTTTTTTTTGATCAGCGATGCATCTGACATATACGGAAACCCATCACCATGATTTCAACGCCTTGGGACGTCCTCCTGACGTGAAAGGTGCTATACAAATGTAATTTGTTGTTATTATTAAGAATATCCAAACCAAACTGCACATTTCAGCAACAACAACTTGCATTTATATAACACCCTTCACATGGGTAACGTCCCGGAGTGCTTTACAGGGAGTAGGTGACCATAAGCATGATCAAAAAGGAAGGTTTTTAGGCGGGATTTGAAAGTGGGGAGGGAGGGGGCAAAGCAGGGGGATTGAGGGAGAGAGTTCCAGAATTTCGGGACATAGTTGTTGAAGTCACGACCACCGATGATTGGGCAAAGGGGATGAAACACAGGTCTGAGCTGGCCAAGCGGAGGCAGCGGGTGGTGGAGTGGGGGGTACGCAGATCGGTTATTTAATCAGATATTTGTGGGACATTGCTGTGCGCAATTGGCTGCCGCGTTTGCCCACAAATATACAGTCAATTCACTTTACAGTATATTCTGTGAAGCTCTTTGGGACGTCTAGAAGACGTGAAAAGCGCTATATCAAATGCAAGGATTATTATTATTATCAGATAGGTAGGGAGATGCGAGGGCATGAAGGGATTTGAAAACGAGTGAGAGGATCTTGAAATGGAATACCCCATCGTTGTTCAGAGCATTCCACCTATATATGAAAATTCCTGAGATATCTCCCTGTAGGTATGCATCATGCTTACTTAATTCAGGAGAGTATTTGGTGCAGGATGGCAAAAAGCCAAGCTTTAGTGACCCCAGAATGTGGGGGGACTTTTGTTAGGGTTTTGATTCTCCAATCCCTGCCCCCTGTGATTGATTTGCCCTTCCAAGTCGTGCCGATGAGCCAGGCTGACTGGGGTGTCATTAACGGTGCCCTGGAGGACTAAAGGAGACCCCGCTTCCGTCCCTCCCCACAAAGAGGATAGTCACTTGTTGGTCTTTTGACATCCAACTCGCGTGGGTTTGTGTCATCACTACATGGATGACAAGTACCAAGAACTTCCTGTGAGCTTCCCGGTATGCAGCCCAGCTCAGCATGAAATACGCAAGAGCGTTGGCTCTATCTTCCTGTCCACAGCTAGGACATATGTCCCTTGTCATTGAGTTACATTTCTACCAGTTGGATGTTTGGTTAACACACCTCAGAGCAATGGGGTAAGCGAGAACAGTGGGGGAGTAGTTGGATAGCTCTTTCAAAGAGCCGGCACGAGCACGATGGGCCGAATGGCCTCCTTCTGTGCTGTAAGATTTTACGATTCAATGAATGATAAGAGGCCTGGGAGTGGATATTGTTTTTCCACCCACAAGGGGCAGTGCAACACTTTGGGATAGAATAATTTCTTTATCGGTTTGAGGGGAACCGGGAAAAATGTATTGCAGTTACCAAAAGTGAACGCAGGGAAGTAAAAACAGAAGTGGTATAAAATATGTGTACATCTGTTTACAGTATATAGACATACTGTGTGCAATATCACAAAAAAATCCTTTGGCTGATTTGATTTTAATTTTCCACAATAATGATCTTAATTTGATCTTCATTTTCTGGAATTTCATCGTGTTTTTACATTACAGCATCAAGCTGTTTCATAAATGTCTAGTGTCCTGGTCTGAACCAGACTTCCTTCTACCTTCTAAATGAATACCCCATCATCATGCACATTTTTTTTCATGCTTTAATTTGTACCATTTTACATTTATTTTACATTTATTATTATTATTATTTATCTGGATGAATTAATGTGGCATTCCTGAATTCACCTATTTTATTCATTCAAATCCTTTTGATGGTGTTTATCTCACTCGTATTTTTCCACTTGACTGCATTTTTGTATGACCAGCAATACATACAAGACATATTCTGCTCCAGAATTGTGAATGGACAGTGTGAACAGACTACTGTGAATTCCAACTCGCCCCAACATTGCTTGCACGATTTATTCTCGCTTTCTTCCTGGCAATTTTACTAAACTTGTGAGTAGAGTGCCATCATGTGGAATGATTGCAGCAGGGCTGTGCTAAAGGAATTTAACAGCTGATGCCACCCACCTCTATCTTTATTTCATGGTTAATGAGCTCAAGTATTCTGGCCGCGCTCTTTGTCCAGGCTCATAAATACGGAACGCTCTGTTTTGATAAGCACGCCTACTGTCGCACAGTAATACTAGAGAAGCTTTGGTGGAGCCGAGCCGAGCCAAGCCTGATGATGCTTGAAAGCACCTGTTATTTCACCGAGGGACTCTGCTCTTGAATCCTATCCGGATGCCCCTTCTTGAACGCGTGAACACATGGACACCATTTGACTGGGCTGTGATGTGCCATAACAGTCGAGAAACCTCAATGTTGCCTTGTGCATTGGCTCACAAATGAAGAACGGTGACTCGGGACACGTATTGGACGGTGATTGGAGAACCAAGGAAGCACTTTCAGCACAATGACTCGCTCTTGGATACAAACTTGGCTTTCACACAGGAGAATGTTTTAAAAGCATTCAACAGATATCAAATGGGAACCCGAGCAGGATGGAAGATACGGGATAAGGTGGTTTGGGAGCCCAAGCAGTTTGCGAAACGCCGGGGGTGGGCAAGAAGTGACTGGCGGCGCAGTCAGAGAGATTTTCTGAGAGCAGAAAAGGAGGAAGGCAGAGGGATTTAGGGAGATAGTTCCGGAACCGTCCGAAAGCTCGCCTGCCAGTGGTGTGGCGGAGGGCGACGGGACGAGTTGGCGAGGGTCGGAGTAAGCGAGGGAGTGACATCTCTCAGCCCTGAGTCAGTCGGCTGTGGGCTCGCGCCCCAAGTCGGGATTTGGAACCCATACGAATTGCCGCTGACATATCAGCGGAGCGCTGGGGGTGCGCTGCGATGGCCGCCGGTGCTGTGCGCTGCGGAGGCGCTCTGGGATTCTACCCCCCACCTTAACCCCCAAACCCCCCCCCCCCCCCGCCCGCCTGAGGGGTGCTACATAAATTCAAGTTGTTGTTGTCCCGCGGATGAGACGTTAAACGGTGGTCCTGAGCCAATGACATCCTCCCTCACTCCCTCCCTCCCTCACTCACTCCGAGGGCCCCCCTTTTTGCGTGTCGCCCCCAGAATCCCGCGAAGCGCTCTGAGGCGCCTCGAGGCCGCGACACAGCGCCGTGAGTCGGGGGACCCAAAAAGGATGTTACTTGTGATCGTGATTGTGAATCGCCGTTCAGTTATCGACATTGAAATGCACAACAGTCGCACACACCAACTCTGCGGTCGGTTTCCCCTGCGAAGCGCTCCGAGGCGTCCTGACACCAGGAGGCGAGAGGGCTGACGATGATGATGATGATGATGTGATGACGACACCGACGACGACGAACAACAGGAACAAGCGGCCGCTCGATGTGCTCCGGCGTCGACGAGCCGGGCCTGGGACCTGAGCGCGGCGGTGACGTCGATTCGATTCGCTGTCGATTAGCGCTGCCTGGCGAGGGGGCGGGGCGAGAGGAGGGGGCGAGAGGGGGGGGGCGGGGCTGTCCTCCCACAATGCAGCGGGCGGGTGAAGATGGTGGACAGTAACATGGAGGAGTTCGAGCAGGAGACGGGCTGCGTCCCTGTGCTGCATCCCGAGGTCAGAGCGCAGCACCGACACCCCCCCCTCCCTCCCCCCTCCCAGTACACACAGGGCCCGAGCTGCGCGCTCTCACCCTCGGGGAGGGAGGAGGCGGGTTTGAAACCCGAATCTCCCCGAGGCCCAGGCAGAGCATCGCCGGCCTCTGAGGCCTCCTCCTCCTCCTCACCCCCCGACCCTCCCCAAGTACCCGGGGCAGCGCAGCCTCTCCCGCCCTCCCCCTCCCCCCAGGGACAGGGCCAATCCCCAAGTGGGGACGCGTCTGTCTGCACTCCATCGCTTTGTTTTCGTTCCAGGGATTTAGCCTCTGGGTATCACTCCCGTAACTGCAAGGAGTAGAGCACAGCCCCCACCCTCCACACTCCCCCCTCCCCCCTCACCAGCATTCATTTATTATTAATATCCATAATAATAGTGAGAATAGTGTCCGATTGCTGCTCAGTCCGCACCGCACCGCACTTCTCACCCGCTGTTGGAGCAGAAGCTGCTGCTCACACCCCTCCCTCCTCTCCTCTGGTTTGCACGCGAACATGAACTGGAGCAGACGGTCTGTCCAGAAGCGTTCCCCTTGGTTCATGGGAGGCGTTGCATATCGAGTCCTTTTGGAGAATGAAAGTTTTGTTCCCCGCCTTCTGGAAACGGGACAGACCTGGCTTTTGCCTGGTTGGTAATCTGAAAAATGTAGAATTTCTGTGTTCCTGTGACAGTGTTGTAAAGTCAGAGTTTTCGAAATTGGTCTTGAATCGGAAGTTCAATCGACAGCAGTTTGCGTTGATGCAGCGCCCTTCACGCCGGACGGCGTCTTGGAGCGCTTGAATCAGTAGCACGTTGTGCTTAATACTGGATAAACAGAATAACGTCAGTCCTTCGTAAGTGTGACATTTTGGAAAATATTTGGTTGAAAGGGTTCCAAAGATTACATCCAGTTTATTTTCCAATATTTCTTTAAGATGAAGTTTAGAGGGTTAAAATTGGGCACTATGTCACAGATGTGGCTTTTGAATGAGAACAGTGGTATGCATTCAGTAAATTGGGTGAAGATGGTGCTGTAACTGGATAAAAGGTTGGTAATTGTTTTGAAGAAAGTTTAAAATCTATTACTCCCCCTACCATTCCAAAACACTATAGATTTATTTAGCATTTCACATTGAGAGGATGTCTTAAAATGCTTTACACAGCTTGCTGAGCTGGTAGGCGATTGGGGTGGGGATAGGAAAGAAGATGACCAGAAGCATGGTCAGTGAGGTAAGTTTCAAGGTGGGCCAAATACACAGTCATTAACCTTTACAGAAAATCCTTTAAAGTGCTTCGAGAGATCCTCCTGATGTGAAGGGCTATATACGAACTGCAAGGATTTTGTTATTTATTATAAGTATAATCATGTAGAATTTTTATTTCTCTGTTCATAATTTGAAAAACATTTGTTGTAATTGAAATGCTGCATGACTATATAAGAATATAAGAATTTGCTAGACAGAAGGCGACCTAGTTTACCTTCCACTGTCCACTACTGCTTGACATGTCTTGTCTCAAACTGTATACAGGTGTTATTTCCGAGATATTTTTCCATTAGAAGTCTAATTTATTCTTGAAAGAAACAACACTGTCTGCTTCCACCATCTCTCTAAGGAGCCTATTCCATAAGTTTACTGCTGTAGTAGTGTATCCGCAGATTAGTTCTGAATTTACCTATTTGCCGCCCCCCCCTCCCCCAATTGCAGGCCATGTCTTCTGGTTCTGCTGTGTTCAGTGCAAGATAAAAGAGCTTATCATGGTGTACATTATTTAGTCCCTTCAGAATCTTGAAGATCATAATCATATTGCCCCTCAACCTTCTCTTCTCTAGCGTAAACATGCCTCAGTTTAGAGTTTACCTAATCACCCCTCGTAGTCCAGTCCCTCATTCATTTTGGTTGCCCTCCTCTCAATCGTTGCAATATTCTTTTTATATTGCGGTGACCAGAACTGCGCACAGTATTCCAAATGCAGTCGCACAAGTGATTTATAAAGTGGGAAGATTACCCCACTATTTTGGTTCAATATTGCCCTTTTAATGCAACCCAGCATTTGGTTTGCCTTACTCACTGCAGCCGAGTATTCTTGCGATAGCTTCAATTTATTGTCAATCAGGACCACCAGGTCCTTTTCATTTTCTGTACAGATTATTTTCTTTCCCTTTAAATAATAGACCCTTCCTGGATTTTTTGTCCCCATGTGAAGCGCTTTGCATTTCTCTACATTGAATTTCATCTGCCATCGATTAGTCCCATTCCCAAGTATGTCCAAGTCCTCCTGTAACCTATCCTGTTCACCTTTGCGGTCTACCACCTTCATAAGCTTTATGTCATACACAAAATTAGCTAATGTGCTTGTGACTCCTAGCTCCAGATCATTTATGAAGATGTTAAAAGAGGTTCTAAAATAGACCTGCTGCAAAACTACACTGATAACATTCTCCCAGCCCGATGACATTCCCTGTACCACCACCTTCTGGGTTCTATCATTCAGCCAATTACATATCCATTGCAAGATACTTCCTCTGATTCCTACTTTCTCTATAAACCGATATTGGCTATCTATTATTTTACATTAGTGTGAAATTTGTCTACGTGATATGAAATCAAGGTTGTGGTATAAATACGGGGAGTAACAACTCAGAATGGTGTAAAACAACAACAAATTTTGCAGGCAAGCATTGCAGTAGCCTAGAATGCCTGTAATTCAGAACAAAGTAATGGTTTGGTATTCTCTGACCATTTTCCAAACATCTTCCCTTATAATATAAAGACTTGACAGAAATAGTAACTTATCATTAACAATATTATGATATTGAATACTTTGAAGACTCTTTCATTTGGTACATATGAATCCATGAATTTGGTACAGTAAATCCACTATTTACTGTACATGGCAATCAGTAGTCACCCTAATGACTCATTGGGTAAATATGATAACATGGTGTGGTCTTTGATCTTACAGGCCTGGAAAGTTCCAGGTTTGATTCTTGGTCAATACTCCTTGAGCAGAGAAGGGAATAATCATCAAAGGTTCATCATCAACAGAGTAGGGATCTGTTATTCTCACCATAGTAGAGAGTGTTCTCTTCTGTAATAACTGTATACCTGAGCTATTTTTGTTGCTCTCCCCAAGGAAATAGCCTGGTGGTATTCGAGGACTTTGTGTTTAAGACGCTGATCCACTAAAACCTTGAAATCATAAATTGGAAAAGTGGGAAGTAAAAGTTTATTACATCAATTTGTCATTGTTAACAGTTAGTCATTATTAACCAGTTAGTCACAGATACAGTCCTCACCTTCATACTCTTTGTTCTGCTAACTTCTATCGCTGTCAGTCCTGTTGTCGCTCCTACATTCAATTGTTTTTGGCGATAGCCTTACAGTGTTAGCTTTGGCCTCTCACCTTTTCCCAGCTGTGAGCCATTTCATCACTGTCCGAATTGAAGTAACAATATTGCAAGGGGGTGTACATTGAATTAAGACCAGATGGGAAATTTATAAAGAAAATATTAGAATGATTCATTTAAGGAAAAAAGAAAATTAAAATGGTCAGCAATAATTTGTATAAAACAGAAAATCTCAAGTTGCACTGGAAGAACCAAACATAGTTGTGAAATTGCCGCTTAAAAACAGATGAATTGGTAATTCATCTCATTTCTCTTTGTAGGATATGGCTGGTGCAGATTAGTTGCCATATTTATTTGCAAAAAACTGTTTTGTAGATATAATACAAGCACTCTTGTAAAGTGCTTTGAAACATTAGGGCATTATATCAAATGCAGGTATAATTATTATATAAAATGTACAATATAGGAGACAAATAAGGAATGAAGCAAATGAGCAGGCATTGATTCATCTCTTTATTTAACTACCAACACCGCTGGGGATGCGTAATTTCCCACAGGGTACAGGCAAGTGAGTCAGCTCAACTTGGGGCAGTTGAATTGCTATTTTACACTTAGTAGCAGCTGGAGCATGTTTCACCCTCTTAGTTGAAAGAGGCAAACATGTACAAAGGATGATTTTGTTCCTAATACAAAAATGCTGGAATATAGTTAAAAATCTCATTATACATTGTTTTTTTAAACATTTTATGCAGTGAAACCATGTTGTAACTGCCGTTGATGTATTTTGTTTCAATCTGTTTGCATTGTACTTAAACGTCATTGTACAAACAAAATGGAAACTTTGCCCAATTCAATTTTTTTTTACTTAAGATCTACTCTCAAAGGCACATATTACAGTGGTTTTAATACCAGTGTTTGTGCTTGTTAGCTTGTTGTCTCCTCAAACATAAATATACCCTGTACATTTTTTTCTTGTTGCTAAGTGATTCTCCGTTAAATTTTGAAAGAACTTGTGCTGTGCCTTCCATTTCTGTCTCTCCCCTCTTGGAGTTGCATGTTGTCTATCTTACCTCCCCTAAATGTGCTAACCTTGTCAGTGAGTCGTTGAAGCCTATTTGATCTACATCCAAACTTGATCCTATTCTCAGACTTCCACATATGCTTTTCAATTTGGTTTGTGAAGTATTGTGTGTCAGCCTAGTTTAGTAGAAGCACCCTTCCCTCTTGAGTCAGAGGGTTGCGGTTTCAAACCCCACATTGAGACTTGAATTCCCATAGTCTCAGCTGACACTCCAATGCAGTGCGGGGGAGAGGTTCCATCGTTGTAGGTTGCATTGTTGGAGCTGCCGTCCTTTGCATGAGACCTTCCTGTAGTACAGTTTAACCCGGTAACCTTTATTGGAAATATCTGTTTCTTTTAATTGCTTCTCCCCCCTCCAAACTGCCTCGGTGCAGTGCACTGCAGGCTTTCTCTGTAATTTAGCAGCATTCCAGTGTTTTTAAAGTCGTCTTTTCTCCTGATTAACATATTTAAATATTATGCATGATATTGCGTTTAGGGAGCAGTCTCTGCCAGTGAAGTGCCGGGCGAGTGCTGCATTGTTGGAATTGCCGTTCTTTGGAGACCTTAAATTGA